CCTTTACAACAAGCATTTTCTTTGCAGCCACCATGCATGGGTATTTCTGACTTAAAGCTGATTTAAAGCTCATTTTCAGTGTATCTTTTTGACGTCTGTCTCCTGTCCTCCTCTGCTTGCATGCTGCTACGTCATGGCCCAAACTATGGGTCTTCCTACAGCCAATCTGCCACCTCGCTGCCTGTCAAAACTTGGCTAAAGCCATTCACCTCATCTTAACGCCAGCGACGCCATGTCAGCCCCTGCCACAGCTGTCCCAGTCTCATGCTACCTGAATAGTTTTGTAAGTTTTGTTACAATGCATGGACATAACCTTAAATAGCTGTTTTGTTGTTAATTGTTGTGTGTTACTTTGTGATGTAGATGTGTATAATCATAGACTTTCATCAAACTATATAAATAAAGTAGTGTATAGATAAGAACACATACATGTTCCTGGAAAAATACATAACTATAAACTTGTGAACGATATAATCATACTTAGAAAGTTCTCCTTGTGCTATCTGTGTATCCCCCATATCTAAATGTGTTGTTAAAGGGCAGGTTTCTATGTTTTGTGTGCTCACTAGCAGTGAATAGATGGAGTGCCTTTTGTAGTCTGGCTTGCATTTTCTTGGTAAAAATCTGGAAAGTGTAACTTAAAAAAGTGTTAGTGTTTTTTGCCTGTGGCTCTTTTGCTCCGGCAATTCTACAACTGTGCAATATTATATCAGTATTGAGTTCTATATATTAGATCAGTTATGTACTCAGATTATGATTGCACGGTGGGCAAAACGGTTCCAGTGCAGTTCCAGTGCTAGTGAAACTAGACTCTGCAAGTACTTCCAAATACTGTACTCTGTAGCTACAGTAACAAGTGGCATATATATGTTGTCTGTCTTATTATTTGACAGGATTATTTTGTGATTTAAAAACTATTATTTTGCATGATGGTTACTGTGAGTAACCGTGTATTCCTACTTTGATTTACAGTGGGTGGACTGTGTAGTCAGAGTTGATATTTTGCTGTATTTTTCCAGTTCGGGGTTTTGCTGAAAGTCTTGAGGCTTTTAGCGCTACATTGCAGTCTTTAAATGAGCACGCATTCAGTCCTAAATGGGTAAATTGCTTGTATTTGTATAGCGCTTTACTTAGTCCCTAAGGACCCCAAAGCGCTTCACACTACATTCAGTCATCCACCCATTCACACACAAAAATGCACAATACGATCCAAAATTGATGAGCCACACTTTATTTCTTTATTTTTTTTCCAAAAAATGGGAAGCTGGTGCAGTGATTAATTGAAATTTGCAGTAATACTTGGAAATACAGTATATGAGTCAAAGAAAAAGGTGTTTTTACATTTTCAACAAGCTTGAAAGTCAATATTTGGTGTGACCACCTTTATTCTTCAAACTGTCTGAACTGTCTTACGCGGCTTTCTTGTCATTTCTTCAAGTAGTCTTTAGGAATAGTTCTTCAGACTTCTTGAAGGACATTCAAAGCTCTTCTTTGGATGTTTGCTGCCTTTTGTTCCATTCTCCCAAGATGTGCCACACTGCTTCACTTATGATTTTTATTATTTTATTGTGGGGCCTTTACTTTACAATATAAAGCACTTTCAGGTGACTCTTGTTGTGAATTGGTCCTATATAAATAGAATTGAATAATGTTGACTTTATGACTTTAGTGCATTGGCAGTGTGTTTGAGCTCATTTTATGCTGAAAATGAAGCAATCGCTAATCAGACACTTTGCAGATCTGAAGATGCTTTTCTGTGTTCAGAATTTGGACGAGATCCCCAACACCACTGGCTGAAATGCATCCCCAAACCATGTCTGTGTTTTACAGACAGCTCTACACACACTCTGTTGGACATCTCCTGACCTCAGCATACACAGTGACAACTATTTGAAACAAAAATCTGGATTCCTCACACTGTCAGACCTGTTGCCACTGATTTTCAGTCTAGTTCTTGTGTATTTGGCAAACCTCTCTTTTCTTCCTGTTTTCCATCTTTAAGAATTGTTCCTTGGCAGCCACCTTTCCATTGAGACCATTTCTGATGAGACATCAGTGAGCAGTAGATGGATTAACCAAAGGTCCAAATGCATCACTCAGGACCTGTGTCAGGTCTTTGCTGGATTTTGTTTTCCTGTTTGTTAAGGACATGACTTTCAGATACTGTTCATCTGCTGTAGTTATTTCTTCAGGCCTTCTACTACATTTTGTTGTTGTTGTTGTTTTTCGCTCTGGTTTTGTCTTTTCTTGTCCTTTTTTCCTTTTTTAAGGATGCACCACCCACCATGCAAAAATATGCCAGGTTTTCAGCTCTTTGGGACTCACCTGTTGGTGCAAAAATACTATTTTTATGGCGATCAAGCTGTGTTATCATCAGTATCTTTCATAGATTCAACTGGAACATTCTGTTAGTAACAAAGTGCCTAAAGATATAATTTAAAATTGGTTCTTTGCTGAGTTGTCTGTCATGTGTTGGCACAACTCTAGTTTTTCTTTTTAAGTTGGGTACCTTTTCACACTTGAATGATTCATAGATTACTGTTAAGTGACAAACAAGTCAGGTACAAGGACTGGACTGAAACTCAGTGAAAAAGAAGCCAATGTCCAAAGAAGAAATCTAAAAAGACTTTCAGAAACTTGGGGACCTGAGACCATTTAAAAATGACAAAGTCTGGCAACTTGGAAGCAAAACCTAAAGAAAGGTGCGTCTTGAATCATTTGCACAGTACTATATGAAACCGGATCCCAAGACTACAATATTGATGTGACACAATAAACACTGACCAGTACCATCCAAGAATTTACACATGTATGTCAAAAAACAAAGTGCTATGTCATTGTAAAGAATATCTGCAACAGCTGGTCTTCACATGTCATTTAAAAAGTGGTATACTACTTATTCTTATTCTTTTTCCCTTTCCTTTCTCCCTCTCTCTTGCAGGCCCGAAACCTGGAGATGAAAGAAAAGGAGCTTGCTACTATATCTAGCTTCTATAGGGAGCAATTGGAAATACTGGAGAAAAAGGTAAAAGCCATGTCCTTATCTCATAAACATGACTGCTATTGCATATCAATATTGGCAACACTAACATTAGTATACTGTTTAAAACAAGAAGCCAAAACTCACCTGAATGGCTTTTCCATTTGTCCACTGGTTCCCTTGTTTTTCTGCTTTGTTTCTCCCCTCTGGAGAGGTTCCCTGATGGGTTTGTTAGAAAGATACAAGAATTTACATTTTTTAGATGTATAACAGCCGATCTCACTAATGAGATGAAAAACATCCTGTAGACTTGGAATGAAAAGACAACTTCACATATAAGGAATATCAAAACAAATCCTTAAGTGAGATACAGTATTACTCACTCTCCATAGAGATTAACATCTTGGTGGAATACAAGACACTGTTTCCTGTCTTGGAAATGCCAAGCCCACGTACCAGTGTCGGAATATGAATGTAAATGAATTAAAAGTTTCAGCAGGCAGATAAGAGGCGTGACTTTCTGTTGATGGGCCTGCACTCAAGAGGTTCCTCAGATAGCTGGAGTTGCCTAATGCAATGCACTGTGCTTTTCTGTTTTCTCATCACTGTATACCTTTGTTTTGTTTTTTAGTGCTTTAAAGGAATTGTGTTGTTTTCCCTCTACCTAATTTGCTTTTGATATTGTGCACAGTAAAAATCACTGCAATGGTGGTTTGATAAAGCTTTCTTTCAGTGTACCCAGTAAACTTTGTGAGGAGTAAGGCTGCACTGGCGTAGGATTTTGGTTGATACTCTAAAGCATATGCAGATGCTGCAAGGACTGAAAGTAAATTTAGAAAGAACAATTCCAAATTAACACCGATGATAAAGTATAATGAAAAATTATGAATAATTAAATGTAAAGGAAACAGGGTTTGAATGGATGAGTGAATTTCTTTTCTGTTCATTATCTTTGTCATGTTTAATTTGACTGCTCATTTTAAACATGACAAAAGTTTTAAATAATCTCATGTGAGCCAAAAGGTCAGGCTGCTGTAAACGTTCGGCTTCCATCAGTGTTTTCAACTCTTGGATCTGTTTGATGCCAAAAAGAGAGATTTCCCTGGCCGTCTCTTGGCTGTGGGCAAAGCAACCTCACCCACATGTTCTGTCTGACTCAACAATTTGCTCTGCACAGGAAATGTATAATCAAACGTAGACGAATAGCAAACGTTTGATCATAAAGCAAGCTAGGGGGCGGCTCTGGCACAGAGGGTTGAGTGGGTCATCTACTAATTGGACAGTCAGTAGTTTGAGCCCCGAATCCCCCAGTCTGCATGTCAAAGTATCCTTGGGCAAGATGCATCCATCAGAGTGCGTCTAAATGTTGGGCAAAAGGCCTTAGGCATAGGAAAAAGCATTTTTATTAGTGGGTGCGTGGATGGGTAAATGAAGCTTTGTAGGAGGAGTGCTCAGAATAAAAAATTCCAATATTGTTTAAGCAATCATAAAAATCAAAGCAAAATATTGAATTTGCTTTATTTGTATTGTAGTTGTAAACATTTAAAGTAAGAGTCCCTATAAATAAAATGTGCAGTGAGATAATAGTCAGTCAATGTTATAGCACATTTCCCATATGTGCACTTATTAACAGGGACATAAATAGACATAGTTTCATACAGCTTACGATTGAAAGATTAAGTCCACCATTATGTTCCACATTAAGCAAGTGATTAGTGTTAACTTTGCTATTGATGTTTTTGCTGTCCACTTCCATTTTCCAGATCTTATATCAGCTCCGACATCTAATTGAGGGACGGCTAATTCCAGTAAAGAAGAGGAAAGCTTTTTTTCTTTGTCTACAGCTTGTTTACAAAAGCTCTTTGTCAGAAAACGATGACGTAAATACCCACAAGCACCTGCTTCTGCCTGGAGGAAATGAGGAGAACTCATAGAAAGTTGGCCTCAAAGAAATGGTAGCTAAATCAGCTTGTTTCAGACAGTTCATGAACTAAGGCCCAGTATAAGATAAGGGTTTTTCTGAAATGTGAATACTATAGTGTTACCATAGTAGACTAAAAAAGAAAGATGGAACTGGAAATTAGTCCAATAAACTTTAAGGTTACATTGACATAACCTGATAGCAAAATACACAATGGAAATACACAAGGAAATGAAAAGGTATCCGGTAGATGCAAATAACCTTACTCCAGTTTCCCTTCCCATCGTCAGTCCCGTTTCCCTCCTTAAATCCCAGCTTTCCCTCAGGTATTTGGTAGACACTCCTGGGGTCTTGACTCCCTCTCTGCGCCTCTACTCAGTCTCTCCCTCCCTGTAGCAAGACCCATCAGGCAGAGGGTTACTTTATCTACTCCCTAACACTCGCCTCCTTTAGGCCTGTGAGAAAACCTTTTACATAGGCAAGTTAAATGGGAGGGCCCCTGCACTCCGTGCAGCAAGCAACACGCGGTGCAATACTTGACGGAAGAGACTGATTGGCAGAAGAGTGCAGGATGGTCTATCTTTCTCCGCTTGCTGCTGCAGTCCCGTTTTCTATCTTTTTTATTTCGCCCCTCACTTGCACACAGCTGACCTGCATTTGAATGAGGAAGCTAAAAAGCAGGGTACTGAGAGGGAGAGATAAAGAGGCTATATGGACTGTGCATTAAACAGACAGTCTATCCTGAGCCGGCATCCACCCTCCTCCTCCTTTTTCTTCATTTTCCAGTCTAGCACTCCATTCATCCAGTTCTCCTTTCAAGCTTCCTCTCCATTTCCTTTGCTATCTTTTTTCTTTTCACTCGCTCATACCTGGTGCAAATTCCAGTGGGGCTGAAATAAATGGCCACTTAAAAGTTGAATTGTGACTGACACAGGTTATATACATAAATGCAAAGCACAGGCTGAAACAGTAATGTGTCTCACTTGTGACACAACTGATTCAATCAAGTCTTTAAATGGCTTTCCATACTTTAGCCTTTTTACATTCTGTGAAGACATGTCAAATGTTAGAACTGAGAAATGTTATCAGAAACAGGATTGGGTATTGTTGCAGCTCAATGTAAAACAGAGAAATTGAAAAGAATCCAGCCTGTTATCGGCACACAGTTCAAAAAGCTATTATCCGCGATTGTATGGAGGTCCATTAGTACGCATGGCATGGGTAACTCGTGCACCCAAGGAGCAATTCTTGAGCTGCTTTCTCTTTTAGCATGACAGATGCAACAGGCATGATTTCAAATGCAAATTTCAGATTTAAATTTGGCTGATGCACAGCAGACTGACAATCTTCAGACCCGGCTAGGTCTGCAGGGCTTTATTTATTGGTTCATTGTATTATTTATCTCTAATTTTATTTTACATTGCAAATGGAGTTAGCCAAAGGTTGGAAAGGCTGTGTTTAAAAAAAAAAAAAAAAAAAAAAAAAAAGGACAATCCACTGGTAATCTGTTTTTTGTTTTTTTTTCCACTGAATCAACATTTTACTTTGGCTTAGCGTCAGATTTTTCTAACAGGTTAATAATGGTGTATATAACTGTGTGCACACTGTGTGTGTGCCGGTGTGAGAATACACACAAGCAAGCTCTAGTGTCCAGTTTGCCTTAGGGATGAATGATGATAACAGGCTGTAATGTTTGTCTAAGGGCTGCGGAGACTGTTTGAATTCACTCCTGACACGAATGTGAAAACGGTGTGTGCATGTTTGTGTGCAGGAGTTTGTAGATTTGTGGGCTCTGACAGGTTTGCGCGCATGCTGTCATATCAGAAGTAATTGTGGACAATCCATTGCACAACTTCCACACATACATGTTGTGTATATACAAAACAACACACAAATGCTGCAACGCCGGCTGAACATACCAGTGCATCTTCTAATTCTGCTCCTTCCCAAATCTCCTTCCCTCCTCCTCTATTTTTTGGATGCCTCCCTAATCTCTCAACAGTGTAGAGGTAGAGTATATCTGTCTTCCTGTGGAAATATACCCTGTGACTCTGTAAACAAGCCTCACTTTAAAATTCACCTCTTTTAATCCCTTCTGCCCCCCTTTTGTCGACTGCTTCCTCAAAAAAAAAATTAATCCTCCTCCGTCCAAGCACGGCGCATGAAACAACCCCTCCCTCGAAATCCTGACATCAGCCCATCTCAGTCCACAGCTCCTGGAGGGTGTTCAGACAAGTGTACGCTCAAGGATCATCTGAACACAACAATTCAAGTAGAAACACAGATTTAGTCACACACCTGCATGTATGCAAGCTAATACACAACCACTAATCCCCTCCGTGAACCTTTCCAGCAACCCCAAAACCTTGCCTTCCCCCACTGAGGGCTGTCATCCCCTCTTTCTGCTTCTCCATATAGGGCTTTTGTCCCCATGGGTGGAAATGACTTGGAAGATCTCAGTGTGTGTATGCTAGTGATAGAGCTACCTCCTCTCTGTAGTCACGAGAGCTGAGCTAGGGCTATTCCTTGGGGTTTGTTCTTGATTAGACACAAAATAGTGTGTGTGTGTGTGTGTGTGT